GCTCTCCTCCAGTCTCCCTTCTTTGAGATAAAGGAGTCATATCCATAAACATTCTCGCAGTTTCTCCCCACACTCTGAACTTGGGCAACCCCACTTTTGGGGACCACAGAATCAGAGACGCTGGCCTTCATCTACATCTGTCTGCTTCTAAGCTAGTGAGAGAGCAGTGAGTGGGCCCACCTCCCACCTGTATCCCACACATCTACACCCAGGCCACGCGCAGCAGGGCTCGCAGACCTCTCCGCATCCCCTGGCTCTCTTTGAGTTTCTTTCTGTTCTTTAATTGTGGTTTGTTTTCCCACTACAAGAGCTTCAGCTATTCCCAAGGGGAGAAAAGCAAACTTCTCTCCTCCCCTCCCTCAACCCTCTCCTTTGGGGCTTACAATTCCATTCAGGGATGTTGGTCGGTCACCCACTGCACGCTGGGGGTGGGAGTGGCGGTGCCTGGGGGGACCAGGAGAAGAAAGGCCTAGTCCAGACCAGCCTCTGGTGCTCTCACTGATGTGCTGATCCTTTGTCATTCTCTGTCTCTCAGTTCATAGGAATACTAGAATGTCTTTAAAGCAAAACCTTTTCTATCTCACCTTGATCTTCTCACATACCGGGCTGGGTTTGAACGGGGTAAACTGGAGACATTCACAGACCAGGAGCAGGCCTGGGTGTGCCCAGCAGGGGGCTTGCCCAATCTGCAGTCTCCTGGCCTGCAGGGGCTGCGGCTGTCACATTGTTCTGGTCAGGATAGTGATCCTGTCTCAGCTCTGCACTAGCCACCTCGGCCCCATTGTTTTGCCTGGGTGGGTGAGGCCAGGGGGAGGATTGTGCCTCAGACCCACTAAACAAGGTGGGGGAGAGAGGATAATGCTGGGCTGTCTCAGGGGAAGTGGGACTGAGCCCGACCCCTATGGGGTGGGGCACAGGCCTATGAGACGGCAGCCCCTCTATACTCCCCAGCTGGCAGCACCAGTGTCACAGACCCCAGGCAAGGGTACCTGACCTCTCTCTCCAAGAATCCCCTCCTGTGGGGAGGGTGGACCCTGTGAAGGGAGCTTGGCTTGGGGCTTAGGCCAGACTTCCCAGGTCTGGTTCTGAGGAGGCTGCAGGAGCCAGCAGGTAGGCAGGACGCAGGACTGCCTGATATCCGCCAAGAGGGATGGATGGGAGAGACCAGCATCACTAGTTTACTCTTGGCCTGGGAAGTACAAGGGTGTCTGTGTAGAAAGGGTGTGTTGACTGGTCTAGGGGATTGTATTATTGCCGGGCATCCACCCTTCCTCTCTTAAGATGTTTTTTGCTTTCCTCTGTATCTTCACTCCCTGCTCTCTGAAAGCTTTCCAGTGTCTTTCCTGGGCGAGATGACAGAATAAAGGGCAGAGTGCATAAGCCCACCCCCTTCTGGCCTTCTCTCATCCCAGGTGGTCCTGGAACCTGTCCCTGGGAGCTTTTCTTCCCCCCAAAGTGGTCCTGGGGACTGAAGGGAGGAGTCAGGGTTGCTGCCTCATTAACATATTCATCAACAGTAATCAGGGACCTGCTGTGATCAAAGCCCTCTGGAGGGAATTTGGAGGGTCAAGGCCAGGACTTCAAAGGACTGTAGCCTGAGGGGGTAGAGGGGAGAGGGAGGAGGAAGGATGAGGGATTAAGGGAGAAGGATGTCCTTAGAGAAAGGAATTTGTGTAGAAAAACCTTTGGTGTGGAAAAGCTGTTGGTAGTCCCCCCCCTCCTCCTCATCCTGATCTGGACAAACAAGACCCGTCACTTCTGCCTCTGGAACCAACATTTCACATGGACCACTGGGGCTCCCAGGCAGGCTTTCAAGAGGAGGAACAATTTTCATTTTATTGTTTATGTATTTGGTGTACTCTAGGAGTAAAAACACAACAAGCCTCTCAACTCTCAAGCCCATGACAGCTCAGATATTATGGCTTCACAGGAAGCTGAATACATTTATTTTATTTTATTTTTTTAGAGCAAAGGTGGAAATTTATTGACGAACAAGTACAGACTCCCACGTGGGGAAGGAGAAGGAATCTCACAGCACAGACTCCCACGTGGGGAGGGGGAAAGAGTCCCCTTAAATTATGTGAAGAAAAATCTTAAGTAGTGATGAATATGGCAGGCGTTGGCATGTCCGTGGTGGGGCCCTGGTCCAAACGGCTCTCGAGGCAGTCCCACCGCCCCATCCTCCTCTATTCCTGCTGCAGCCTCCCACTTTCCCACCACACTGCCCGCCCGCCTGCAGCATCTTCTAAGCCAGTGGTTCTCAACCTTCTGGCCCTTTAAATACAGTTCCTCATGTTGTGACCCAGCCATAAAATTATTTCCGTTGCTACTTCATAACTGTAATGTTGCTACTGTTATGAATCGTAATGTAAATATCTGATATGCAGGATGGTCTTAGGTAACCCCTGTGAAAGGGTCGTTCGACCGCCAAAGGGGTCGCGACCCACAGGTTGAGAACCGCTGTTCTAAGCCCTGCCTGGCTTCAAACTCTTCTGATGGCCTTTAGTCATGTTTCCCAAACCACATCGCTCAACAAAAGTGCTCCATCGTCGAGTAAGCATGGTGTCTCAGTATCTACTGCCACATAAAAAAAACTGCTCCCAAACTCAGCAACATAAGACAACAAATATATTATCTCACACAGTTTCTGAGAGTCAGGCATCAGGGAACGGCATAGGTGGGTGGCTCTGGCTCAGGGTTTCTTTCTTTTTTTGTATAAGCAAGTAAATTATTTTTTAAATTGAGATATAATTGACACATAAAATTATATTAGTTTCAGGTGTACAACATAATGATTCAATATTTGTATTTATTTATTTCAAAATGATCACCACGGTAAGTCTAGTTAACATCTATTACCACACAGTATTATTAACTACTAGAGGCCCAATGCACGAAATTTGTGCAAGAGTAGGCCTTCCTTCCCCCGGCTGCCAGCACCGCTTCCCTCTGGCACCCGGGACCCAGGTTTCCCTCACAGCCCCAGCTTCCTCTGGAAGGTCATCCAATCTAATTAGCATATTATGTTTTTATTATTATAGATAAGCCATGGCTCAGGGTCTCTTTTTAAAAAAATACATTTTATTGATTTTTACAGAGAGGAAGGGAGAGTTAGAAACATCGATGAGAGAGAAACATCGATCAGCTGCCTCCTGCACACTCCCCACTGGGGATGTGCCCACAACCAAGGTACATGCCCTTGACTGGAATCGAACCTGGGACCCTTCAGTCTGCAGGCCAATGCTCTATCCACTGAGCCAAACCGATTAGGGCATCAGGGTCTCTTATGAGGCTGCAGTCAAGGTGACAGCCTGGGCTGCCATCATCTGAAGGCTTGACTGGGGCTGGTGGATCTCCTTCCAAGGAATCACTCAAGTTAGTGCTGGCTGTCGACAGGTGGCCTCGGGTCTTCTCCACATGGACCCTCCATAGGGCTGCTTGAATGTCCTTCCCACATGCCAGCCAGCTAGAACAAGGCAGAAGCCACAGTGTCCCTTATGACCCAACATTGGAACTCATATGCTACCACTAGTGCTATAATGTATCAGCCACACAGACCAACCCTGATACAGTATGTGAGGGGACGACCCAGGGCATGAATACCAAGAGGTGAGGATCCTGGGAAACCATCTTTGAGGCTGGCCATCACACACCAGGAGCACCAGCTTGACCAGGCCAAGTGGGGTCCATTCCTGGAGGGTGTCCCAGGCTCCCCATACACAAATGTATGCTATGGAGCCCCATTTCCCAGCAATTGTGGCCATAGTGCCCTTTTGTAAAGGAAGGATCTGGAGCTACAAGAGATCTAAGGAATATACTTTGGAAGACCTTGACCCAGAAAAGGAAGTCTAAACTCTGTTTTTTGTGTCCCTGCCTAGTCTAGCCCTTTCAATATAGCCTTTTGTCTCCTCACTTCACTTTGAAATCTGTAGCCCAGTGACACTAACACTCACACCTACTGCCATTTCTTATGCTGTCTGGTCTGCTCTTTTGTGGAGAAGACCCAAGGGTCTGCGAGGAGAAGACCTGTTGAGCTCTTATTCATCCCTCAAGGACCGGATAAAGGCCACCATCTCCATAAATCTTTCATCTCTCACAGAAAGAATTCATTTTCTTCTTCCTTTGCTTCTATAGTTTTTAATATAGTAACATCTTTTGCAAGGCACCTACCACTTTGTCTTGGGTTACAGCTCTCTGTCTTCCCTCCTCTTCCAGGCATTTAACTCCGGCCCCACTCAGTGCCATGTGTTCAGTGCTTGGTACATCGTTGGAGTTCGGGAAATACCTGGTGAAAGGGTCCTTCTCCTCTTGCTCTCACCTGGCCTTGCTTCTGAAAACAGTTTCTGGCGACCCAGGAGAAAGCCCTTGGCAAGGCCAGACCAAAAGATCCTCCTGCCCAGGGAGCCAGGGCTGTCTTTCCCAAAGCAGGGAGGCAGGTCCCTCCACACCTGGAGAGGCGCCCCCTGCCTTCAGCCAAAGCCCAGATCCAGGCTGGGCAGACTAATGGCCCTGAGCCAGTTTGATGTCTGAGGGTCTGATGGATATCATCTCCCAGGCAATGCCGCTAGCTCGTGTGCACAGCCATGGACTGGGTTACAGTGGGCTATTTGTTCCAGAACCTCCTAACTGCCCCTTGATGCCCTCAAGGGCAATCTCAGGAGCCTCTGGTCAGTAACAGGGGTTGTTCATGCGTTTGGTTTTGGAGATCAGCCTTCCAAAATGTGGGCCCAAGGAAAAGCCTGGGAGGGAGCCTGGCTGGGACACCTTTGCTGCCACTGCCTGTTCCCCAGAGAGCAGGCTGAGTGACGTCGGGGCTCAGAGGCTCCTGCCTGGAACTGCAATGACCCTGGCAAGCGTGGAACGGGCCCATCCAATTTATTCCTTGCCCAGAGTCTTGACAAGTCAGAGCCAAATCCTGGCCAGCCCCACTACCTGGCCAGAGGTGATGGGGTCCCCTCTGAGAGCACTTCCGGTGGCTTCCTGCTCCTCTCTTCCCACAGTGGCGTGGGCCTGGCACGAGCACACTTTGAGAAGCAGCCCCCCTCCAACCTCAGGAAATCCAACTTCTTCCACTTCGTGCTGGCCATGTATGACCGGCAGGGCCAGCCCGTGGAGGTGGAGCGCACGGCCTTCATCGACTTCGTGGAAAAGGACCGAGTGAGAGGCTCGTGGGCTCCGCTGGGATGGAGCGCGGTGGGGGAGGGGGCAGGAGGGCTTCAGGGATCCCCTCCCACCGGGGCAGATGAATGGATAGACGTGGAGAAGTAGAGAAGGGAGGTGGTGTAAATGGATGGACAGGAGGGAAAGAGGGTGGGCGTAGAGAGGGGGGCTGGGTGGGGGAATCCCTGGGAGCATCCTCCCCATCTCGGCCCTGTAGGAACCTGGGGCTGAAAAGACGAACAACGGGATCCATTACCGCCTCCGGCTGGTGTATAACAATGGTGAGTGAAGCCCACTGCACACTGGGTGCCAAAGCCCCACAACACAAAATACCCCGTTGCAGGGCTGAGGAGGCCCCTGCCTCCAGGTGGGGAGAGAGTGGAGTGTGCTCCAGTCATCAGAGGCCACGGTGCTCCCCATACAGCAAGCCCTCTCCACCTTTCCACCCTCAGGACTTCGGACAGAGCAGGACCTCTATGTGCGTCTCATTGACTCCATGTCCAAGCAGGTGAGCCAGCCCAGGGATGCTCTGGCCTTCTCGGACCCTCATCTCTGGGGGTGTGAGAGAGCATCCGAATCCCTGCCCCCACCTCCCCAATGGTCTGGCTCCCTCAGTGCTTACCCCAGTCTGTGTGGTCCTTGCCCTCTAGTCTAGAAAAAGGCAATATTTGTACAAAGACCTCATCCTAGGTCATGTTCCCTGGAAGCCCAGCCTAGACAGAGGGAGTCAGCTGTACAAGGTTTATTGGGGAGGCAGACAGAGGCTCTCAGGAGAAGAGAGGGAGGGAAGCAGAACAGGGCAGGGGATGCTCAGCATGGATGGGGTCTCAGCTGCAGTCTAACCTCAGCCTGATCCACAGGGAGCCCTGGAGAAGGAATGACAACAGAGTCGTCCCCCCTGAGGCAAGGAGGCCAGGATTCTGTACCCTGAATGAGTCAGTAATTGGCTGGGGAACACTCCCAAGGGGAGCCTGTAACCTTCCAGACATTTTCAGGCAAGGTAGCGCCTATGTGTGAGAGCCAGCCTCAAGAGAAAACACATAGCAGCCCACACTAACTGCTACTGGGGGGTGGGTGCACTGGGCCAGGAAAGGGGGTGAGGTGGGGCCCAGAGCTTCTACTGCAGACCCTCAGCACCTGCTGAAGTGGAAGGTCACGGGAAAGAGGCTCAGGGGCCCAGGTCCTCAGGGCCTCAGAAAGACTGATCCCTGAAGGAGCCCTGATGGGCTCTCGCTGAGGCAGAGCTGCAAGTCTCGTGCAGAGAAGTTGTGAGTGCACGTCAACAGGGAGCTGAGCTCACATGGGCCCATCAGTGGCCCTGAATGCCAGTGGACACTTGGGCTTTCTAGCAGTGCCTATCCAATCCCGGGACAGAGGGAGAGATGGTTTCTTTCTAGAAACTCTGTGGTTGCCGTCATGGGGGAGGCAGACCAGGCAGGTCGTGACAAAGAGGGATTGTGCGGGGGGATAAGTGTGGAAGCGGTTGCGGGGGAGTCGAGAGGAAGAAGGACCCCACAAGTGGGAGATGGCTGGGAGGCTCAGGGCTTATAAAGTGGGAAACTTAGATTTGCAGTTTAGGAAGCTTACTCCTTTCTTCAGGGCAGAGGGTGGAAGTGGCTGGGGGCGGGGGGGGGGCAGTGAGGAAACTGACCCAACAGTCCAAGGGGCAGACCCTGGCCTGGGCTGGGGAGGTGGTAAGAATGGGAGAGGGGGAGTCTGATTAACCAGCTAGGATAGTCTAGGGGACAATGTTTGTGAGCAGAAGCAGAGGTCCGCTAGGGCCATGGGAAGCGTGGGGATAAGCGTGTCTACTCTCATCCCAGCCTGGCTTTGGTCCTTGGGCCCAAGCAGAGCTGGGCCTGGAAAGAGGTGCCTGTGGACAAACAGAATCTACGGAGTTCGTGCCACTGTTGCCTGTCCTGGTGGTAATCCTGGTTTGGGGAGCCAGGCTCCCAGTTCCTGCTCTCACCCCTAGGCCCCCGGAGAGTGGCTGGGAGGGTATGGTGTTCCCAGGGGGCAGGGCCCATCCCTCCCCTGCACTGGGACATCAGAGGAGCCTACAGCCACTTGAGTCTGTGCCCTTCCTCCCTCCCCCAGGCCATCATCTATGAGGGGCAGGACAAAAACCCCGAGATGTGCCGCGTGCTGCTCACCCACGAGATCATGTGCAGGTGAGAAGGCGGGCTCACTTGCACCTTGACCCTTGGCCAAGATTTTGTCAAGGACCCCCACCGGGCCCTGCCCACTGCCACTGCCACCACCACCCTCCTTGCTGCTCCCTGGGAAAGCCTGGGGGGCGGGGGCGATGAGGGAAGAGAGGAGGCCCCTGGGCACAGTGCTGGCTGAGGAGAGGGTCCTTGAGGCCCCATTAACCTGGCCTGTTTATGTGGCTTCTCCAAGTGTTTTTGTAAGAGAAGCCTCCAGCCGCTGCTGGGAAGCTTAACTAATAAAGCTCTGGGGAGGGCTCTCTGGGGATGTGGGGGCAGGGCCTGGGCCTCCTGGATCCCCTCCAGAGCAGGAGAGGGGAAACTTTGCTGCCTCCTACTTGACCCCGGGGCACTTCCTGGGTGGGGCAGGGGGGAGTGGGGGGCACACAGCGGTTGGCTCCCCTTCCCCATCACCACAAGGCGTGGCATTTCTAGGCAAGGTCTCCCCAGGAGATGCCAGTCGGACAACATCAGTTCCTCATACACGGAAAAGAGAATACAATGTTCAAAAATCTGGTTGGATAAAAAATTTAAATTAGAAAAAAAAAGATTAAAAAAAATGTGCTTGGGATGATGGCTGCCTCTGGGAAGAGTAGTGACGTGACAAGGAGGGGGCTCCAGAGGCTTCTGGGGCACTGAGCACTACGCAGCGTTTCTTGTCAGGGGCTGGTTACATGGGCAGGTTCACCATGGGACGATTCCTGAGCTGCATGCTTACCATCTGAGCTGTCTCTGAATGCATCCTCCAGCAGCAGCATACCTTAGGGACAAGGTTTCCCTGCCAACCTTATCCCTTGGGCTGGGCTCTCCAGGTCCCCGTGGCAGGACCCTCGCTGCCTTTCTCCCCCAGGTCCCTGGGAGTGAGCCCCTCTGGCCCTAGGATTCCATACCCAGACACACACACACACACACACACACACACACTGTAATCTCCCTCTCCTTCACTCCCTTTCTCCTTCCTTCCTTCTCCATCTTTCCATCAGCCGGTGCTGTGACCGGAAGAGCTGTGGCAACCGGAATGAGACACCCTCAGACCCCGTCATTATTGACAGGTACAGCTAGGGGAGGCCTGGGAGCTGCAAGGCCTGGGCAGCCTGGGCTCAGTCACAGAGTGGTGGTGGCTCCAGGGAGGGATGGAGCTGCCACTCCCTCTCCCACCCCCATGTTGGTGGCTCTCAGCAGAAAAAAAACTGTCAGACACCAGGGAGCCGCCAGCCATGGCCCCTGAAGGAAGCCTTGGTGGCAAACTTTCTGGGGCTGGGCTTAGGAGCTGTGTTCCCTGAGGGAGCCTGGGAAGGGGAAGGGAGGGGCGGGGAGGTGGGCGGGGTGGGGGGGTGCGGAGAGTGGAGTAGGATGTGAACTTGCAGCAGAGAGAGGCTGGGGGAATGAAGGGACTGCAGTGGGCAGGGCAGGGAAAGCTGGGTTCCAGTCCAGGTGCCGCCTCTGCACTGTTTGACTTGAATTCTCTGAATATCCCTTTCCTTCGTTTGAAAACCGGAGAAATACTTGACAGGTTTCAAGGATTGCCAAGGTGATGCATATAAACATTTATTCTTGCCCTAGCCGGTTTGGCTCAGTGGATAGAGCGTTGGTCCCAAGTTCGATTCCGGTCAAGGGCACATGCCCAGGTTGTCGGCTCAATTCCCAGTGAGGGACTTGCAGGAGGCAGCCGACCCATGGTTCTCTCTCATCATGGATGTTTCAATCTCTTTCTCCCTCTTCCTTCCTCTCTGAAATCAATAAAAATATATTTAAAAAATTTTTTAAATTTATTCTCCAACCATGATTTTTAAAAATTATTTTTTTGAATAGGAAATAATATATAAGGTAAAAAATTCAAAAGGTATTACAAAAGAGTAAATAATGAAAAGTAAGTCTGCCCCCACTGCTATGTATACCATGCTACACACACTCTTTTGTATTTTACCTTTTTATAAAGAACTGTAACATATATATACAGGGTGGGGCAAAATTAGGTTTACAGTTGTGAGTACATGAGATACAGAGTTTATTCTTGTGTTATTTATTAATTATTATATTATTTTCCATATGAAGCTACTTT